ATGCCGGGGGAGGTAGGGGAGGCCAAGGGGAGGTCAATGGGGGTAAAAGGAGACATATGTACTACTATTTGTAATACTTTAAACAATAAAATAAAATTTAAAAAATAAAATAGAACAAAAAAATTAAATTTAAAAAAGAAAGTAAAACAATTGATATTGAATGAAATAAGCATAACTATATACTGTATGATTCCATTTATATAAACTTCTAAGAAATGAAAATTAATATGTAATGAGAGAAAGATCAGTGGTTGTCTGGGATGGGGGTCAAGGAGCCAGGATATGATGAAAGCTTTAGGGGTGAGGGATATGTTCACCCTCTTGTTTGTGATGGTGGGCTCATGAATCTATACATATGTCAAAACTTAACCAATTGTACACCTTAAATATGTACAGTTTATATGTCAACTATATCTCAATAAATCAGCTTTTAACAAATATGGTTTTAACCCAATAATTAATAATATTTCATAATACAAACTGGGCCCTAATTCATTCATTAAAAATTATTCCTTGTTAATAATGTGTATTTTGTCATAAAATTCATAGGGCATCCTTATTTCCAAACTATTAAGAAAGACTAATTTGAACTGGCAAAATTCAGTAAATCATAAAATAAATTTCTTATAAAAGCAATAAATCTCTAAACAATATACATTTTTTTCATTAAGAAAACTTAACTAAAAAGAATAGCAAACCACGTAAACTGTTGATTTTATTTCAAGTAGGATTAAACAACAAAAAGTGCTATTATCTCCTTCCTAGTATATCTGCTGTTACAGTTTTATAGTCAATCCTCTATAACTGATTAAAGCTGACCATGGCAAAGAGAGAAAGAAGCAACTATTTCCCATGAGGAAATGCTCTCTAAATAATGTGAAGTTAAACAGAAATGTCTGGGGCTTCTCTCTGAATCCCTCAGCACCTAGACAATCACCACAAACCTCTCCTCCTCATCAAAGCCTAATGGGAGAAACAATCCAATTTCATTAAAGGAAGCCTACAGAGGAACCTAAAGAAAAGAGTTCTTCAATTAGCATTATACAACTTCCTGCTTCCTCATGGTTTAGATACCCAAACTCTCAAGTCTATCAGATACTCCAACAATTACTTTCCCTTCATTTGAAAGATTTTTAAGCCACAGGGAACAGGTGACTTCCTACTATATCAGCCTACTTCATCACTTGCCC